TATGTATATATGAATTTTATTGTCTGTTGATTAAAAATGCAGCAAGAAAAAAAAGATAAATAAATTGATAAAACTGAAGCATTTGCTGTATTTATATATAAAAAATTTTATACATTTAATTTAACTTTTTAACTTTCTTATATATATATAATTAATTTTAATTAGATACAATTCTTCATTTTTTTCTTTAAAATTGATTATAATGCATGAATGTAAAATTATTTCTATAAACATGCATGTCATAATAAATAACTTTATAATTTATATATATGTTGTACAAAAATTTCACTCTTGTCATTCTGTGATTGTATGGTATATTTTCATAATAAGCTATACTAACACTGCTCATTTGTTGTAATATAAATCATGTGCTAATTTGTTGTTTATTTTGAAAACAATAATATCAGTGTTGATATATTTTTCTTAAAACACATTGTTTAATATTTCTCTTGTTCTCTTTAAAACATAATATACTATTTGTTATTAATGTTCCAAAAAATGAACTATAAATTTTCTAATTCATTTACATTACTAAAATGTATTAATCTATATCTATATATCTATTGATATCTTCACATCAATATGTATGTATTTAATATAGTACATAGTTTGAGTTTTTGGTCTCAGATCCAGGTTTGATCAAATGACATTAATAAAAGAATCTACATTTTTGGCACTTGGCACTGGATAATATCAAATTGGTCGAAAGTGTACTTATTTTTTGCAACTAAAAATTGATAAATATTGTTTATTAAAATAATATATAATATTTGAAAACATATTGCATATTTAACATATGAAAGAAGTTTATAAATAATAATTTTTAGAAACATTTTAAATCATCTTAATATTTGCATTTTTATTATATAAACTATAATTTTTATTATATTTATAATGTAAATAACAATATTAATATTTTTGATATAATAAAAATTATTCTAAAGTATGTTTAAAAAAAGGTAATTTATATATTCACTACAGTTAAAATTCATTTATGGCAGAATTGAGTTTTATATTATCGCATGTATAAGATTTTTGTTTACAAATTCTGACATTTAATGCCTTTTTTATGAAAGTGTAATTTATATCAATAACTAACACTGTGGCTTTTTTGTGAAATTATGGATTATAATTTTGCATACATTTAATATTGTATTTTTGTTAATTGTTATTAATACAAGTTTATATTAATCAATACATTTAATATTGTATTTTTATTATTGCATATATTTAATATTGTATTTTTCTAATTGTTGTTAATACAAGTTTATATCAATCAATAAAAGTTTACATAACACATTTTTTAGTCAGTCTATAAATAATTGAATTTATTGAATATTTTTAAAAATATTTTACAGCTCTGCTGTGATAGGTCGTACAACAGATGCCAATCAACCATTGGTGGATGTAACTGAAGTTATTTGAAGCAGCATTTAAAATTTATTTATTTCTTTATTACGAACAAATACTTTTCTTATTAACACAATTTAACTTTAAAGTCTTTTATAAATTCTTTGCACTTGTTATTAAATAAAAGTCAAAGAGAAAACTAAATTTTTCTCATTGTAGATATATTTATGTAGTTTTTGTTATTTTGCTTATTTACTTATTTGAGTCTCGTTGCAGTAATTTGATATACAAATGCAAAGAATTGGTATCTATGTCATATTTGGGCCCCTCAATTGATGAGTGGCATAAATCCGAAATTAGGAAAAATAGGTTTATTATAATAAATAAATAATATAATAAATTAAATATTCTTAGCATATATTAATAAAAATTTATATTAGTAAAAAATAAAAGTAATTTTTACATCATAAGTAAATAATGATACTTAATTATTCATTACTTTACCATTGCAAGAAATATAGGTTTCTTTTAAATTATGTTAGAATAATTATTATTTTTTCACTTTATTTCCTAACAATAAAGTAGTGTTAATTAATAAAGCTATATTCAATGTTAATAAATTATAATTAATAAAGCTATATTCAATCATTAATTTGTTAATAAAGTATTATATGAAAATTTTTACAATGGAAAAAATAGCTTCTTAAGAAGAGACTTAATTCACTTGTTACGAGGGGCTCATTTATTATATATTAGAACTTTTAGAGTTCTGTATATATCACACATACAAAAATTATTGACAGAAATTAGAATATA